GGCATAAGCTCTGCTGTAGCTGTGCGATGGTTTTGTCCCGGTCAGTGATTTCTGAGCGAGTCGAGGCTTCACAATCTCTCAGCTCACACAGTTTGACCTGCAGCTCAGACCGCAGCTGCTCAACCATCTCACGCAGCTCCTGCCAACAGATAAACATCACACACCAATCAGAATCACAGAAATAATGATTATTTCCAACAGATTATCGTCTCATCTTCTAACTTGACTCAACATGCACAGCTGCCAAAATTTCTCCATATTGTAATCATGATGATAATAATCGCTTTAATGAGCTTCTGCCTAACATTAATTAATTCATGTTAGCTAACTGTATGGTTCTATTACCTGGAACTGTTCATTTGTGAAATGAACATTACACTTCTGATAACAGATCATGATAAATTGTAATGTAGACATGCATGTTCTGCAAAGCTGCTTTGAAACGATGTGTATTGTGAAAAGCACTTTACAAATAAATCTGAATTGAATAGAATTCTACTGTTGGGTGCCGCTCCAAAACTCTGTTGACGTTATATTTACAGGACTGAGGGCCATCATGCAGTAGTGACATTACATGCTTTCTCTTCCCAAAAAAACCCATGACATAAAAAATTAAATAATAATATAAATTCATATTTAGTTTTTATTCACAAACATCACCAATAAGGGTTTCACACTGAGAAACCCGTGCTGTTCTAGAAATAAATATGAATGTGTATGTATTACTACAAATGACCAAACAACAAATACAAATGAATACAAAACCATCTACACTCACACAGAGCTCACAGAGAAAAAGACTGCCGCCATCAGGGTAAAAAAAGTCATCATATTTCTGTCACATGCTTATTCAGAAAAACAAACGGCCAAGTGTTTCTTTTCCCCATGAAAGCAGCATCTCATCCGTGGGAAGTGAAACAGGAACAAACATACCAATAACAATGACTTCTGCAGCAGTTGGATGTGCTGGAAACCCCGTTATCACATCTGCAGCGCCACAGATGGGTTGTAACGGTGAGGTTTAGCTGGGTTAAACGTGCAGGTAAAGCGGCACACAGAGAGTCACACCTGGTTGTGTTTGTGGGAAACGTCTCTGTGCTGCAGCGCGTCCTGCAGCTCGTTCTGCAGTCGGTCTCGCGAGCGCGTCTCATCCTCCAGACGTCTCTGAGTCAGTCTGTGAGTGTGCTGACTCGCCTCCAACTCCAGCTGACACCAGAACAGAGAACTCTGGGAGCCCAGAACCGAACCAGAGTCCACAGCGCTCTCTGGAGTCTACAGAGACAGAAACGACATGCGGGAAACACTCATCACCTGCAGCTCAGACAGTACAGCATGAGTGTGTGTGTGTGTGAGTGAGTGAGTGAGTGAGTGAGTGAGTGAGTGAGTCAAAAACAAACCTGTGTGTGTGTGTGAGTTTGTGTGTGTGTGTGTGTGTGTTCACCTGTGTGTGTTGCAGCTGCTGCTGGTGGGTCTCTGTGATTGTGGCCAGCGTGTTGTTCTGGCCCTCAATCACACGGTACAGCTCCTGAGTCTACACACACACACACACACACACACACACACACAAAGACACTAGCTAAATATTACATCACTATTACTATGGATGAGCACAAGCTCTGTACTGTGACACCAGTGAATGTCTGATAATATAAACGATGATCGGTCATGATTACGTGTGTGTGGCTTTTTGCTGAATTCAAAATTCATTAACAACTCCGACAAGGAACTCGTTTTTTATACTTCATAATTACATCAATTATACAGCACAGATACAGAAGCTAAACGCAACAGATCGCTCCGTCTCCAGACAGGCTCTTCATATCAGATAACATGTTATGCCTGTCATTTTCATCAACAATTTTTTTATATATATAAAAAATATATATATATTTTTTTATTTTTATTATTATTATTATTTTAAGAATTGCAGAATCTTAAGAAACTCCTTAACTTCTTTCTCAGGAAGGTTTTTGTGAATCTGCTCCAGGGAGCTGCTCGCCATCCACACGATGACTGCATTACTCGGTGAGGTTTACGAGAAGGAAACATTCACATACACAAGGCGTCACATCTGTGGCTTCTGTGGTGTGTGTATATAATGACCTCTGTGTCTTTAGTTCTCAGGCTGTCTGTGAGGTTCTGGATGGTTCTCTCTTGGTTCTGAGCAGCTTGTCTGATGGACCGGAGCTCTGACTCCATCTCACACAGTTTCTCCTGCAGCACCCGAGTCACGAGAAACAAACACACAAATGAAAACAGCCTGTCACGGATAAAAAATCCCAGAACAAAAGAAACAGAGAAATCAATCACTGATCTGCTCACTGATTAACTTCTGTAGCTTGAATAAAAATTAATCTATATTCTATTTATAGTTTATATACAATTTATAGTTCATGTGAAGTTCACTTGAATTAAAAGTTGTTATATTTTTCAAAGCCTATGTTAAGATAATAATGGCTAATACTGTAACGTTAAATGCCAATAAATAACAGCTAAAATTAAGGGAAAAATACATTTAATCGAGACATCAGTAGCAGTATTGCTATCAATGATACGGGCCTTCATTAATAATGGGCTACTTAATAAAAAGATGCTATTAAACACATTTAAAATATACCATAATATTTGTTGTTTCTACATTAATTTGGAGATTCAATGTCAAATTATGACAATATAAATATTACATATATTATGTGATTAATCGTGATTAATTACAAAAAAAGAGAAGGATACATTTTTTTAATTGATTGACAACACTAATATATACAGTATATATATATATATATATATATAGACCATTAAGCTCTAATTATAAGTTATACTAAGGTTACGTGATGAGAGTTTGTGGGTTGTGGGGAATTGTGGGTAATGCACCTTGTTGCTGGTCTCGCTCTCGTGGATCTGGTTCTGCAGAGACTCGAGCTGTAGCTGCGCTTGCTGCAGTTCATTCACACACTGTCCAGCGGCGCGTTCGTACTGATGCGAATGCTGCTCTTCTATCAGACTCTAAAAGACAATAAACATCAAACCAAACATCAAACCATTTTAATGTACAACAGAAGAAATGAATATCATACTATTGAAACCGGTCATATTTATTGTATAAAGCATTAGGAAAAATAAGCCCTGATTTTATTTGCTTCTAATCTCAGCCAATTGACACAGACACTGAATAAATAACACCAATTCTGATCAATGAATTTAATCAAATGTGTGTTGAAATCCATGTTAGAGAAAACCTGTCAGTAAATGATCCTAATCAGGTTTAAATGCTGCTGGACTGCATTTCATCTCACTGCGTTTGTTCTGAAGCATCTGAGGTGCTTTAACTGAGGTACATTGAGGTCAGATGTCGCTGTTGTATGTGTGTGTGTGTGTGTGTATGTGTGTGTGTATGTGTGTGT